ATGAGATAGAATACACATTAAAACATTATGTCCTAATATCATACATGGATAAGGGAAATTAGAAAATACATTGCAGAATATAAGTAAGGTAAAATAACTACGGTTCTTGAATAGAACGTAATTTTTTACATGCTTCATCCCAAGACTTTTTTGTAAATGTAAGACGACCATTAGCAAAAATCTTTGTAATAGTTTCAGAAGACTCCGTAGGTGTAGAGGATGGGTCTGACGCACTTTCTGATCGATAGCGATTTGGGCAAACTTTTGCAGTATGACCCTCACGGTTACACAGTTGACAAGTTACTTTATATCGTTGCAGGCATATAGTAACAACATGTCCAGAAATATCACATATTTGGCAAACAACGTTGTCTTCATTTTTAGGCAATGGAATGTCTTGGGGGATTGCAATATGATTCCTTGATGTTATCAACTTCTTCCTTAGAGGACTCCGAGATGGATAATCCCATAATGATTCAGGAGTATCCTCAACAATTCCTATGTAAATTAACATAAAATTAATATGTTAGTAAATGGTATGCATCAACATAAAATAAAAAATTATGAGAGGGAAAAGGAAAAAAAAATTATACCATCATATTAGCTGTCAATGTATGGTTGACTATCCATTTGGTTGTCAAAATAGGGTTGACTGTCCATTTGATTGTCAAAGTAGGATTCACTATCCATTTGGCTGTCAAAATTTGGTTGATTGTCCATTTGGCTGTCAAAGTAAGATTGACTATCCATTTTACTCTCAAAGTAATCTTAACTGTTCATTTTGCTTTAAAAATAATCTTGACTATCTATTTAGCACATAATAACTTTTTAATCAATTAATTAATTAAATTAATCATAGTTTACTTAGTAATTAAATATGTAATTATGATTTAATTAATCAATCAACTATAATCATTATAATTAATTATGATTTAACTAATAATGTAATTAATTATAATTTACTCCACAATAAAAGCATATAATCATAATTCTCCACTCAATTAATTAATTAATTAAAAAATCAATATATATCAATCAAGTAAACATTCTTTTCATACTTTTATAATGTATTTGATATATAAAAATTCAATATAAATATCATTTTAGTTCAATAATAATGCACATCTCAATTAATCTTAATATCAATTTCTTAATCAAGCTAATTTGAAATAAATAACAAATTGACATCCATAAAAACTCAACATAAGTATCACTCTACTTCAATAACCATAGATATTTAAACATCAATTTCAATATCAATCTCAACCTTAACCTCAAACACAATAATTCAAAATTTACTAAAAACAACTCTTCAACTAAGTACAAATCTCAATCTCAAAAACTTGAAAAAAAATATTTGTAATTCACTAATAATTCTAGCAATAATCTAAACTAATCTACATAAATAAAATAGTATATTTATGTAAAAAAAAAACCACAAAAATCCCAATTACCTCTGCAGTGGGGAAATTGATGCTGCAGGACCAATAAAAGCTGGATTTCAACCTATAAAAAACGAAAAATGGGGTATTGTAAGCAGTATATCTAAGGAAAAAACAAGTAAAACCAAAAAAAAAAAAAAAACTGTGTGCTGCAACTTCCAGGAAACCTCCTCCACGTGGTGTGGTTGCTTAGAGACGCTGGAGGCTGAACCAAAAGGCAAGGATCAACAAGGAACAATGCAATGTGTCGACGACTGTCGCTGGAGGCTGAACAATGCAAGGAAAATACATGCAAAAATAAATCAATCAATTGACCGAGAGAAGGGCGAACTCATCGGCACCGGCACGGAGCAGAGAACAGGGGGTGCTACGGAAGAACAACGACAGCAAGCTTCGCCAAAGAAGAAACAAGATCTACCGCCGCAGAGGGAAAAACAAAAATAAGGAAGAAAGGCGAGGTGCGGGTGATATGAACGAGTATATTCGACAGCCAAAGCTATCGAATATACAGAGGAAACGATATCGTTGTCATCCATAAACATATTCGTCAGCCAAAGGCTGTCGAATATATTTGTATATTCGACAAAAACGTTGTCGAATATGAATATTGTCGATTAAACAATAAATTTCCATTATCATCGTCAATTTTACATCTTCATCAATCTTTCTGTCGATTATGTACACATTTTCGACAGAAATGTGGCTGTCGAATATAATATTGTCGCATATGCCGCGTTTTCCAGTAGTGTATGCATGTCAATTTTAAAACTAAATAAACATTTATAATTAGTTTATTGATTACATAAAGCTTAATACCATTAAATATATGTGAAAGAATATATGTTTTTTGATTGATTGATTATAAATATTAGATGAATTTAAAAGTTAAAATGCATAATTTATATTAATAAAATATTAAATTTAACAATTAATTTTTAAAAATATTCATTATTGATGTTTCTTTTAAAGCTAAGATTCTAATTTGTTATGAAAATTCGAGCTAATATACACTATTTTTAATATAATATTAATCTTTTGTAATATAAAATATCCTTCATTTAAATTACATAGGACATTTTTTTATTGTAAAATACAAAAGGGAATTAAAGATTAGAGGTATTAAAAAACATTTGTTAGGATTTGAGTTTTTGAATCAACAAAAAGTTCTAGGTCTCAGATTTAGTATAAGACTTTGCCTCACTATCCATCTTAGGTGCTTCTAACTAATATAGAGGTATACCCTTAATATCGTTCCAAGAATAACTACTCTTGAGGTCCGTGGCTGCTGGGCAAGAGAGATCTCTGATAAAAAAAAAAAAGGAAAACAAATTCTGAGTTCGATGCAATTTTCCATACTGCTCAGGAAAATTAACATAAATATCAAAAAGGGTTCCAATGTTTCCTACTCTCCATTCTGTACATCTCAGACCTCACCCATTTCTCTACAACGGAGGATGTCAGCATCTCAAACAACTGCCAAAAACCTCTGGTAAAATCAGTCACATACCCTCTCATGAAACCTTAAGACAGTGGCCTCAAAACAATTCAGCTCAATGACGTAGAAACAGCAATGCTCCTGCAAGTCCTGCTCTATGCTCAAAGACTCCAAACACAACACCAAAAGGAAAATCCAAAAAGAGGATTTTCTTTCTTCTTTTTTTTTTTTTTTTTTCTTACTCCTTTTGTGGTGATCAATCACTTTCATAGCTTCTTGGATGCAATTCTTGGGTGTGGTTTCTAGCCACGTCGAATCCCTACGAAGTAGTTGAAGTCATGGTGCTGGACCCCCAGCTGCTTTAGCCAGGAATCTGCCACGCTTAATAGTGACCCAAGCCTCTCTTGGTCCTGACCATAATTACCAGAGACCCACACATTTCCTTGCATCTTGTAAGTGGCAAGGCCAAATGGTGGCAGAGAGATGCCTTCCTTTGCATTTGGCTTTCTTTGGGCACTCTCTAAGTCATCTTCTGGGTCCACATCTGCATAACCATAAAAATCAGCCATTGAATGAAATTTAAGAGAGAATGATGAATGGAATGGATCCAGATAGTACCCTGGAAAGACGATGAAAGGGTATGGTAAGTAAGAAAGCATGTGGACAGGTCCTTAATGGTTCTTCCCATGGGAATGTGATAAATTGGATACCTGAACATGTATGATTTCATACCGAACAACAATCTTTAGTATTATTTGGAATTAATTAAGGCATGCTCAGATTTAAAAATGATCTACCAATATTCAAATGGTAGGATTTACTTCTAAGAGCCTAAATGCCTGAAAACTGAAATGTAAAAACAAAATTCAGAAAGAGATACCAGGCAACTGCCATCCAGCTAGCCGGTGAAAGATCTACACTTCTCAAAGACATCAAACCTGGGAATCTTTGAGATAAACCATTAATCTGCAGAAGAAAGTACATGTGTCAATCCACTCTATACACTTTCATATCATGCAGGGACTCAAAGAATACAGTCACAGTGATGCCAAATTTTAAAACCGCAATTGCTGGATGGCAACACATATATTCTTGGTCCAGATACCAAAAATAACTAAAGACAGTATCAGATGAAAACCAAAAAATATCCTCATGAGTCACCAACGATGATAAATTGATAATACCTAAAAGAAGGAAAGGGTGAATCTAACCTTTTTCTTACTGAACATGAAGCGACATGAGATGCAAAGAGAGGTGGATAAAGCACAAACAAGAAATTATGGGAGAAAACTATGCAATGTCATGGTCAAATGATTCTTACAAATCCAAAGATGTTTATAATGATTCCAATACGTTCCTTCGTTTTTGTTGTTCTAAGTTCAAACTAACAAGAAACGTAACCAGCAGATAAATGCAAACTAATATGAAAGTTAACAAAACATTGCATTTAACAAAGCTTGAACAAGAGGATTACAAAGTGAAAAATCAAAAAGTACCTTATCCATGAGAGGAACCCTTCCATAAGGAGTTGATCTCTCAAAGTACTGGAAATAAAGGAGCCCCAACCTTTCATTCACATGCCAGAGGCAATCTTGCTCAGAACCTCCGTCGGAGGAGCATCCATCCCATCTAAACAACTTGTCACTTTCACTCTCATCACTGTATGTATCACTAAAAGACTCCCTTGTCTCCCTATCACCGGACTCGGACTCCTCCCTGAAAAAAAATCCAGTCCCACATATTTAACATACTGTAAATATATACCATCAACAAATTGAAGATCATACCATTGCCCCATCTTAGTAATCAAACTATTACACATACAAATTGATCTCCATATCAATTTATTCGAAACTGATCGATGTGGGATTCGAAGATATATTATCAATCGAAACCAAAAACTACTGAAATCCATTAAATGCAAGTTAGAGTGAAAAGGAGAAATTGAATACCTTAAGCTATGGACTGAAGAATGGCTGATAAAGATTTGGATGGCAGAGAGATAAGGCACATAGTACTGCACCAAGGTCTCGCCGTTTCTTAAAACAATAGGGACTCCGGCACCGTATGCACTCCATTCATCATAACAACTCCAAAGATCACCTAATGTGAAATATTCTACCTTTTCTGTCTCCCTAGGGTGCCATAACTGATTAAGGTACCTAATCTCAGTCTGAAATAGCATCATGAACAAGAATCAAACCCAGAACCAAAAATCAAAGTCAAAGCAAAAACAGAAATAGAAATGGAGATTGAAGAAAAGCACAAACCTTGGTGAGGAATTGGGATTTGACTACTGGTGTTGTGCAATGGAGGAAGCACCCAAGGTTTGATTGCTTAAATCCTTTGTCAAAAAACATGATTCCGGCGAGGGAGTAGAGAGGAAAGAGTTTTAGTTTCTCTCTGCCCCAACCCTGAAAGCAGAGGGAACCAAAAGAGGAAGGGATGGGTAGATAGAGGTAGAGGACGAGAGACTTTTTAGGATTTGATTTGCCAAAAGAAAATTCCAAATGTCTACAAAAAGATTCTATTTATCAACAATTAGACTGCTAAATTTGAGGGGAAATCTCTCTGTTTTCCTCTGTCCAAACGAAGTCTTTGTCGGTAAGTTGACAATGTTGTTAAGAAATTCAACAACTTTCCAGTCACCGGAGAGTCGCCGGCAATTGGGATTTCCTCGTCAAAGACAGAACAGGAAAACAGAAACAAGAAGCCAAAGAAAGAGAATTTCCAAATTTGTATTATGTTTCTTTCTCTTTTTTTTTCTTTTTTTCTTTGTTTCTTTTTTTTAATTTAAGCGTTAAGAAAACTCAAAACTACTCTGCTTTGATCGAAATTGAAAAGGTTTGTTTTCATTCCTATTTCAACGGCTAATTCTTCAAACTAAATCAAAACCCACTTAGCAAAACACCGATTAATCTGGCAGAAAACACTTGAAAACAAGACGCTGTAGACCGGAAATTGAAGAAAAAGGGAAGTCCGACGAAAGGGGAAAAATTGAAAGAAAAAGCGATTGATTTACTCAATTTTAGGCTGTTTTTCTTGCTCTGAACAGAAACCCACAATTTTCTGAAGAAAAAGAGCTGATGGGTTTGAGTTTTTTGATGGGATGGAGAGGATTTTCTAACTGAAAAATGGAAAAGCAATCAACTTTCCGACAAAACGAACAAGATTGACAGAGAAGTGGGAACAGAGGAAAAAAATGTCGAACATATCCAATTGGAAATTCGGAACAGAGTGTTCGGATTCTGAAAAGAGTTGGCATTGGCAAGTGAGGACAAAACCAGGACAGAAAGAAGCAGTGCTGAGATATTAGCTATCCATTAGCCAACATATTTGAGTACTCGATGGTCGATGCTCGATCTGAAAAATTACCGCACCAGGTAGAAAATTTTTTTTTTTCGTGTTAGGTAATTTTCACGCATCTAGTACTTGTAGGAGTTATTTTTTGAGGTCAAAGTAGCACACCTACCTATACAAAAATTTATTTTAAAATTAATATTTTAAAAATTAATTGTTTAGAAATCATATAAAATTATATTAGACTGTTTAGTTAAAAATTAATTTTATTAAAAAAATTTTAATAAGAAATGATTAGAAAAATAATATATAAGAAGTTAATAAAAGTTATATAAAAAATAAATAAGTTTTATAAAAAAATTTATAAAATTTTTTTGAGTTGTTAATTTTTTATATTTAATAAATAATTAATATAAAAAACTTGGTAATATATATAAAAATTTAGAAAAATATTTTTTTAAATGTGAGAAAAAAAATTTATAAATTAAAATTATGTAAAAAGGTAAAAGTTAAAAATATATATTTATTTTTCATTATAATATTAATATATAAAAATATATAAATAACATTGAATAAAAGAAAATTTACAAAAATTTAGACGGAATGAATCCCTGCAATCAAAACAACCACTAATTATTTGAAAAGAAGAACCAGAATACAAATTCGAGTCTAAATTAATGTCCTATTTTTGCATTCACAAGTACCGATCAAATAATTTGTATTATATGATAGAATAAAAACTAAAAGATAATTTTTTTTTAATTATGCAATTTAAGGTAAAAAAATAATTATTAAATTATACATTAATTTTTAAATTAGTCTAATATTTATAGTCTTTTAATTAAAAATCTTTATTGACTAATAAATATTTAATGGTATTAAACTCTTGGTAATTAACAAATTGGTTAAATATGTTAGATGAATCTAAATAGAATAATGATAAATAAGATCAAAATTTGAGATTAAAATTTAGAATTAATTATGTGACGTAAATCATGTTATTTATAATATTAAAAGATGAATCTTATAGTATTTAATGAATGGCTCTTTTTATTTTTTATAACTCGTAATATTATATGTATTAATTAATTTAATGACATTATATAAGTCACATTATTAATCTCAAATTTTTGTCTTAAATTTTCACTCTTCTTATCATTACTCATCTAAAAATTACCATGTATAATCTATATAATTAAAATTTTTAATCTAACAATTAATTTTAAAAAACTCAAAATATAATATTTTTAATAATATCTTTCAAAAAAGACAGAAAACACCTTTCCTATATTTTTTTGCACCAATTTTATTCTTTAAATTTCCAACAAACAAATAGGCTTTCAGAATTTATAGAAATGTTTATTGCAGTGACATGAAATTTTTCTGTGTGGTTGAAAGTAGAATTGAACTATAAAAACTTAATTATTTGATTGAGACTTAAGAATGCAAAAAGAGGATTTTGGAGTCTCAAATTTAAAACTTAACCATTCACTTAGTATGGTTGTAATTTTTTATTCTTAATTTTAATTTTTAAAAATTTTACAAATATTGAGAATCAAAATGAAAATAAAAAATTATTTATTTATTAAAAATAAATTTTAACACGGACAACTAAAACTATAAACTTATTTAATATTCTATTTCTTTAACTTTAAATGACATAATTTGGCCTAGTGGTCACTCGTTTGAATGCGTGAATTAGGACACCATGTCTTGGATTTAGAACCCAAGACTTACTTTTCCTACCCAAATCAATTCTCTAATGTTCAAAAAAAAAAAAATTACATAATTTGGCTAAATTTAATTTTTCATCTACTAATTATTACTCTCTTTTTATTTTAGTCTAAAAAGTTTAGTTTCTTTTAAAATCATTTATAAATTTTGAAAATCATTTTAGATTCATCTATCTAATTAATTTTCGTTAGTTTTTTTAACAAAATCCCGTGGCATACTTATGTGGCATATGCAATTTTGAAAAGTTACACTTTAACCCCAAAAGCTTCACAAAATTTTCAATTCAAT